GAAGGCTGGAGTGTTCAAACCCACCAGCCACTCCTTGGAACGAACATTGGGCAATCTACTTCTGTGGTGATACTGCCTCAGAAACCCGAGGAGGGGTCTCTATGAGTCAAAATCGATTCGATGGCACTGAGTTTGGTTTTAGTTTTGGTTTCTAATGAATCTATTTTGTTTCCTTCTAAATACCACTTCAGCTTCTAGAGATCAAGTGTTGGCCAGGGCCTTCATTTGTCTTGGTGGTCAATTAAAATGTAAAATGTAAATACCTTGAGCCAAAGTCAATAAATGAATCAGAATCCCTTGGGGGTGGTAACCAGGAATTTGCTTCTAATTGTGATTATTGAAAGGTGCCATCAAGTTAGCTCTGACTCATAGCAACCCTATGTACAACAGAACAAAACGCTGCCTGGTCCTGCGGCATCCTCACAATCTTTGCTATCCTTGAACTCATCATTGCAGCCACTGTGTCAATCCATCTTTTGATGGTCTTCCCCTTTTTTGCTGACCCTCTACTTTACCGAGCATAATATCCTTCTCCAGGGACCTTCTGACAACATGACTGTCTTGGTTCTCTAGTGCTGCTGTAACAGATATACCACAAGTGGATGGCTTTAACAAACAGGAGGTTATTCCCTTACAGTTTAGGAGACTTGTTGTTGTTAGATGCTGTCAAGTTGCCTCCGACTCATAGCAACCCTGTGTGCAGCAGAACGAAACACTGCCCAGTCCTGTGCCAGCCTCACGATCTTTGCTATACCTAAGCCCATTGTTGCAGCCATCTGTGTCAATTCATCTCATTGAGGGCCTTCCCCTTCTTAGCTGACCCTCCAGTTTACCAAGCATGACATCCTTCTTGAGGGAATGGTTCCTTCTGACAACATGACCAAAGTAGGTGAGATGAAGTCTGGCCATTCTCACTTCCGAGGAGCATTCCAGCTGTTCTTCTTCCAGGACAGATTTATTAGTTCTTTTAGCAGACCATGATACTGTTAGCATTCTTCTCCAACATTGCAACTCAAAAGCATCAACTCTTCTTTGGTCTTCTCTGTCCATTGTCCAGCTCTCACATGCATATGAGATGATTGAAAATACCATGGCCTGGGTTAGACACACCTTAGTCTTCAAGGAGACATCTTTGCTTTTCAGCACTTGAAAGAGGTCTTTTGCAGCAGATTTGCTCAATGCAATATGTCATCTGATGTCTTGACTGCTGCTTCCATTGGTGTTGATTGTAGAACCAAGTAATATGAAGTCCTTGACAGCTTCAATCTTTTCTCCATTTATTATGAAGCTGTTTATTGAACCAGTTGTGAGGATTTTTGCTTTCATTATATTGAGGTGTAATCCATACTGCAGACTGTAGTCTTTAATCTTCATCAGTAAGTGCTTCAAGTCATCCTCATTTTCAGCAAGCAAAGTTGTGTCATCTGCATATCGCAGGTTGTTAATGAATCGTCCTCCAATCCTGATGCCAGGTTCTTCTTCATAAAGTCCAGAGCCTTGGATTATTTGCTCAGCATACAGATTGAACAAAACCAAAAAACCCAAAGTCAATGTCTTTAAGTTGATTCCAACTCATAGTGATCACCATTGGTTTCTGAGACAGTAAATCTTTACAGAAGTAGATTGCCCCATCTTTCTTCCACAGAGCAGCTAGTGAGCTTGAACCACCAACCTTCTGGTTAGCAGTCAAATGCCTTAGGCACTATGCTACCAGAGCTCCTTCATAGATTGAATAAATATGGTGAAAGGATACAGCCCTGACACACACCCCTTCTGATTTTAAACCATGCAATAGCCCCTTGTTCTGTTTGAATGACAGCCTATGGGTCTATGTACAGGTTCTTCATGAGCACAATAAAGGGTTTTGGAATTCGTATTCTCTCCAATGTTATCCATAATTTATTACAATCCACACAGTCAAATGCCTTTTCATAGTCAATAAAACACAGGCAAACATCTTTCCAGTATTCTTTGCTTTTAGCCAAGATCCATCTGATGATATCCCTCATTCCACATCCTCTTCTGAATCCAGATTGAATTTCTGGCAGTTCCCTATGAATATACTGCTACTACCATTTTTGAATTATCTTTACCAAAATTTTACTTGCATGTGATATTTATGATATTGTTCAATAATGTCTACATTCTGTTGGATCATCTTTCTTTGGAATGGGCACAAACATTGATCTCTTCCAGTCAGTTGGGCAGATAGCTGTCTTCCAAATTTCCTGGCATAAATGAGTAAGCATCTCCAGTGCCGCATCCATTTGTTGAAACATGTCATTGGGTATTCCATCAATTCCTGAAGCCTTGTTTTTCACCAATTGCTTCAGTGATGTTTGAACTTCTTCCTTTAATACCAGTGGTTCTTGATCATATGATACCTCCTAAAATGGTTGAACATCAACTTTCTGCATCATTCAATAGTTTGCCCATGTTGCAAAATTCAATATTACAATTTGAGGCTTGAGTTTTTCTTCAGTTTTTTCAGCTTAAGAAATGCCAACTGTGTTCTTCCCTTTTGGGTTCCTAACTCCAGGTCTTTGCATGTTTCATTGTAATAATTTACTTTGTCTTCTTGAGGCATCCTTTGAAATCTTCTGGTCAGGTCTTGTATATCATTATTTTTTCCATTTGCTTTAGCGATTCCTCATTCAAGAACAAGTTTCAGAGTTTCTTTTGACATCCATTTTGGTCTTTGCTTCTTTCCTGTCTTTTTCATGAGCTTTTGCTGTCTTCATGTATTATGTTTTTGATGTCATTCCACAGCTCATCTGGTCTTTGGTCATTGGTGTTCAATGTGTCCAATCTATTCTTCAGATGACCTAAATTCAGATGGGATATAATCAAGGTTATATTTTGGCCCTTGTGGTGTTATGTTAATTTTCTTCAGCTTCAACTAGTCTTGCAAAATTCTATTATGTGATCTCCAACATCATTTCTATCATCAAGGTCATATTTTTGAACTACTGAAGTTTCTTCCAATTGCCCATAATTTTCAATACATCTTGATTGCGTGTTTGGTCAATATCAGAATCCAGAAGTTAGTGAAAAATCTTCAATTTCTTCATCTTTGGCTTTGTGTTTGGTGTGCAAATTTGAATAATATTCATATCAACTGCATATAGATATTATCTTATCACTAACAGCATTACATTTCAGTATTGATCTTGAAATGTTCTTTTTGATGATGAATGTGACACCATTCCTCTTCAATTTGTCCTTCCCAGCATAATAGACCAATGATTGCCTCATTCAGAATGGCCAATAGCAGTCCATGTTAGCTCACAAATGTCTGGGATATTGATCTTTATATATTCCATTTCATTTTTGACAACTTCCAATTGTCCTAGATTCATATTTACATTCCATGTTCCAATTAATAATGAATGTTTGCAGCTGTTTTTTCTCATTTTAAGTCATGCCTCAACAGCAAATGAAGGTCCCAAAGAAAGCTTTACTTCATCCATGTCATTAAGATCAACTCTACTGTGAGGAAGCAGCTCTTCCCTAGTAGTATTTTGACTGCCTTCCAACCTGGGAAAGAGCTCTGGTGGTGCAGTGCCTAAGGCATTTGACTGCTAACCAGATGGCTGGTGGTTCAAACCCACCAGTCACTCTGTGGAAAGAAGGCCAGGCAATCTACTTCTGTAAAGATTTACTGCTTTGGAAACCCACTGGGGGTCACTATGAGTTGGAATCACCTCAGTGGCAGTGGGTTTGGTTTTTTGGTTTGGTCCAACCTGAGGGGCTCATCTTCCGGCACTATATCAGACAACATTGCACTGCTATTTGCAAAGTTTTCCAGTATTATAGTAGACAGTGTTTCATTGCTATTCATAAGGTTTTCAGCAGCCAATTTTTTCAGAAGTGGACTGCTCCATCCTTCTTCCTAGCCTGTCTTAATCTGGAAGCTCTGCTGAAACTTGTTAAACATGGGTGACTCTGCTGATATTTGAAATACAGGTGGCATTGCTTCCAGCCTCACAGCAACATGGAAAACTGACAGACAAGTGGTAGCTGCTTCTAATTAGCTCCATAGAAATTGTATGTAACTAAAGTTTGAGAACCACCTGTCTAGACACCCATAATTAACCCATGAATAATCTTTTCTAAATTTTACTTGGGATAAATGTCTGTAGCACCTGTCTGTGGTTTGAGATAATTTCTTATATATTCCCTTTGAAAATCAAGTTAATTTGCCTTCCTCCTAGTAGTCTCCCCCCGACACACACACAATTGTACAAGTATCCCTGGTTCAGAATTTTCTCAAGATACAGAAATTATCTAAAAAAATAGAAATTGGTAGTAAATGAAATTTCCTTGTGCTCTTTACACTGATCTTGATCCACCTAGCTTCCTTATGTTTGTTCTTGCCTTTCCTTCTGTTGTTTATTTCCTTGGCAGACAAATAGAAGCAAAATATGAGTTAAAGGTTGGGCTTAAATTGAACTTGAACTCCCAAGTCAAACTTAAATAAAAAACCAGCTCATATCTTATGGGTCTAGGGACCCAAAGATGAGAATTTTGCTATAAAGTACTTTAGTTTTTTGTTTGTTTTTAAAATAAGGCCCAGCTATATGAGTGTTGTCTCTTTCAGTGTGGAGGCTTTGCACTGCTACTTTTATGCAAAATATTTAGGCATTCTTTTGGGAAGAGCAGCCTTAGAAGGCAACAAGTAATCTTAGTATGGTTTATGTTCTGTTATGCCTATTTCTCAGTCTTTCTCAAACCCTCCAAAGGGTTTGTTTGTTTGTTTCTTTTTTTTTTTTTAAGCTATTCTGTATGGTTTATCGTGTCGAATGACATAGTAATGCAGTGCTACATGTGCTATAGCCCAACGGATGAATAAAGCCCTTTTGTATCTACACTTTCCCCTTTTTTTCTGAAGCAACAACCACTCCCTTTCTGCTTGAGTCGCCTTCTGCTGGCGGGAAGTCTCTTTGTCACCACATGCAGTCGGGAGGCTCTAGCGTCCACTTGGAGCTCCAGGTTCTCGCCGGGCGCGGTGGCGCGCGCCTGTAGTCCCAGCTACTCGGGAGGCTGAGGCTGGAGGATCGCTTGAGTCCAGGAGTTCTGGGCTGTAGTGCGCTATGCCGATCGGGTGTCCGCACTAAGTTCGGCATCAATATGGTGACCTCCCGGGAGCGGGGGACCACCAGGTTGCCTAAGGAGGGGTGAACCGGCCCAGGTCGGAAACGGAGCAGGTCAAAACTCCCGTGCTGATCAGTAGTGGGATCGCGCCTGTGAATAGCCACTGCACTCCAGCCTGGGCAACATAGCGAGACCCCGTCTCTTTTGAGTTCCCATCTTAAAGAAACTTTTTTTTAATACGCACCCATCGTAAAAAGACGAAAAGTAACGTTATTTACACTCTTACACGACTGTATTTATCACTACATAATGAACCCCTAGTGATGGGAAATTTTCTTTTATTTTTGTTTTCCTTCTCCATTATTATGAGCTGGCCAAGCATTTATGGAGCACCTATTAACAACAAAATTGTGTAGCAAGTAGCACCCAGAACCTCGGGGAAGCAAGACCAAGTTTGAATGAGAATCCTACAGTACTATGCAGACTGCTTCTTTGGAAAGCAAGAACCATCAAAACAGCAACTCTTTTTTTTTTTTTTTTTAAACGTTGTGGGTAACTAGATAAATGAAATAGTTCTGCTTTGTTACATTTCAAAATTTTACACATCAAAGTAACTGAGTGGAAAAGGCTTGTAGTTCCTCTACACTGACTACTACAACCCACCTGGGAAAATCCTTCCCCCGCTCATTGAGAAAATTGTTACTGGCCAGCAGGAGTCACTATAGGCTTGAGTCGCGAAACATAGGAGAAGCGTTCAAAGAAGGAATGCAGTTTTAAGAGAATAGTTGGCATCTACTTCAAGTAGTTTTATTATAATACAAAGCAAATCGATAGCGACAGAACAGCCAAATTCTTCAGCGACGTGATGTAGTATTTTCGCTTCAAGGAATATTGGATCTTATGAGCGGCCGTAGATCTCTGCCAAATGCGCCTGCGCGGAAGAATAGCGGCGGCGAGTCAGGCTTTCAGCAGAGGAAATTGCGGTAGTAGCAACCCTCAAACCTCGTCATGAAGACCCGCTTTAGCACTGTTGACCTCCGCGCGGTACTTGCAGAGTTGAATGCCAGGTACACTCCGACGTGTGACCAGCCTCGTAAGAAGCGTGCAGAAGGCAAAGATCAGAACCCCATGGTGAAAACGAGACCAGCCTGATGTTTTTCCTTTTCTTTTTTAATGCTGTTTTGTGGACCTGGCTAGGCCTGGCTGAGCGAGTGCTTGGTGCCCTTCCCGTGGCCCTCGTACTCTGGGGGACCCTCGGCTGCCGCGTGGCCCTACCCTGTCTTCTTCTGGCTACTGGTCTCGCCAATTCTCGTGTCCAGCTTGGCGCGAGGTTCTAGCCTTGACTATCTGGGTTGTTGCCCAGGTTCGGTTCTTGGGGCTCCAGCGTGACAGGATCTCCCAGGAGACTTACGGCAGCAAACGCTTAGTAAAACAGGAGAGTTGGACGCCACTTTGTCATTTGCTGCACAGGTTTTCAGACTGGAGACGCAGTTCTTCCACTCACCTTTTCACCCCAAAGAGAGGGAAGATAGCCTTTTAGCTAGAGTTTGCTTTGTTGGGCGAGATAGGAGTTCCAGTCTGCTTCCTGTTCAGCCTAGTAACCTTGGTCATTAAGGTTCCACAGG